AAGCCAACAAGTCTCACGCAGTTGAGAGGATTCCTAGAACTCACGGGCTACTACCGAAAGTTCGTGAAGGATTATGGAACCATCGCCAAGCCACTGACAGAGATGACTAAGAAAGGCGGGTTCACATGGACCGAAGCTAGCGAGGAGGCGTTTGGAAAATTGAAAGAAGCCATGACTACAACGCCAGTACTCGCCATGCCCAGGTTTGATGTCTTGTTCGAGGTACACACCGATGCGAGTGACATTGGAATTGGAGCTGTGCTAGTGCAAGAGGGGCGACCCCTAGCCTATCTCAGCAAGGCACTGGCACTACACGGTTGGGTCTGTCAGTGTACGTGAAAGAGATGCTAGCAGTTGTCGAGACTGTAAGGTGCTGGAGGCCTTATCTATGGGGTCGACGTTTTCAGATTATTACCGACCAACAACCGCTTAAGCACCTATTGGAGCAAAGGATTGTTACCCCCGAACAGCAGAATTTCGTGTCTAAACTTATGGGGTTTGACTTCGAGATAATCTATCGACCGGGTCGACAGAACGCAGTAGCCGACGCACTATCCCGACGGACAGATGTGGCCGAGTTGAGTGCTATCACTGGGCCTACTTGGGCCATTTGGGAAGAGATCAGGAAGGCGCAAGTAGAGGATACCCATTGCCAGGAGCTGCGCCAATCGATAGAAGCAGGTAAGACAACTGCTATCGACTACGAGTTGCATAATGGTCTACTTCTACACCGAGGTCGAGTCTATGTCCCCGACAGTGGGCAGTTACGCGAACAGATTATGTAGCACTTCCATGACTCTAAGGTTGGAGGCCACTCGGGTATCTATCGCACGTGGATGAGAATAGCCAACACTTTCTTCTTGCCCGGGCAACAGAGTACCGTCTGAGACTACATAGCACGATGCGATGATTGCCAGCGTACTAAGTCTGACTCACGACGGCCGAGTGGGCTATTGCAACCCTTACCAGTGCCCGAGGTATCTGGGAAGACATCACCATGGATTTCATCGAGGGGCTACCGAATTCTAATGGATTTGACGGTGTTATGGTTGTGGTGGATCGTCTCACGAAGTATGCTCATTTCATACCCATTACCCATCCTTACACCGCGAAGTCAATTTCCAGGTTATTCGTGGAGTACGTGATGAAGCTGCATGGAGCACCTCGATCCATCGTCTCTGATCGAGACCGGATTTTTATGAGCAG